TTCTAGTCCCAGGTAAGGGTGCTCCATCTGGTCTGGTCTGGGTTGATAAACTCACACGGCTGCTTTTTGTTTGTTTGTTTGTTTGAGTAATTTGGTATCTTTTCAAGAGTCATTGTTTATCAATGTAGATAAATTATCTGCCATTGTGTGCCTCCTACTGTTGCTTTAGGAATGGAGTCGTTCTAGGTGTGGCACAGAGTCTGCTAGCCGGTACTTAGCTGAACGCGAGTAGCCTAGATCAGGCCCAGCCTGTTTCCATTCTTAGAACCACAAAATAAAAAATAAGAAGAGAAAGAAAGAAGCAAGCTAAGGTCCAGAGAGGTTACCCAAGGCCTCAGAGTAGTGAGTGACAGCCAGGTCACCTGCTCTAGGGTACTTATCTAGAGAGGTTACCCAAGGCTTCACAGTAGTGAGTGACACCCAGGTCATCTGCTCCAGGGTCCTTGTCTTTCTTCTTTCTTTTGTGTTTGTTCATTTTTACTGTTTCTTCTCTTGAGATAGGGTCTCTTGTAACCCATGCTAGCCTGGAACTCACTATGCCAACAGGCTGACCTTGAACTCCCGATCATCTTGCCTTTGCCTCCCAAATGCTGAGATTACAGATGTGCACACCATGCCTGGCTTTCTTTCCTCTCTAGTTCTCCCCATTTAGAATAGCCTAATTAAGTGCGCTCTAGCCTAAGTGGTTATTCACTGCCAAGTGGTCAGCCCTAAACACACACGCGTATGAGCAACGCTAAATGCACTCAGCAGGCTGCACTTATGCATTTTTATGTGCATGTACATGTCATGATAATATTTTAACAATGAAAACAACAGAGATGATGCATCAAAGAAGAAGGGGGGCTTGGGGACTTGAGGTCAAGGAGGGGGGCAGTGGGTTGAAGCAAGATTGAAGATGATCAAAATATAATACATACATGTATGAAATGTCATGATGAAGCCCAATAGTTTGTTCAATTAATAGGTGCTTAAAATGACTATATACAAAGATATATATGTAAGGTAAAGACCTTACAACCACAGCAATACTCCTAAATCTTCCCCGAAGAGAAATTAGGGACATTCCAGCAGCCACATTCAAGGCTCAGAGAATTTGGAGACTTCTGGAGTCCGTGTTAGGGACAGTGAGCACTCTTCATAGGGCACTTTGCATGAGCTGGGGTCTGCTCTAAGTATGTGCCATGTGCTGAACTCATCCCCTCCTCAGAGGGACCTGATGAGATAGGAGTTTAAGACCTTCTATCCTGGGGTCTGGAGAGGTGGCTCAGTGATTAAGAAGTCCTTAGTTCAATTCCCAGCACCACATGGTGGCTCACAACCATCTGTAATGAGATCTTTTATCCCAGTGGGGCATGTATTACACTGTAATTCCGCACTGGGAGGCTGAGGCAGGACTACCATGAGCTTGATTCTGGGTTACATAGTGAATTCCAGAGTTCTGGGCTAGCCTGGGCTAGCATGAGACACAAAACCACCCAGTACAATGTTAAAACCCAAGTGCAGGGCCCGAGAGATGGTTCAGCAGTTAAGCACTGGCTGTTCTTCTAGAGGACCAGGATTTGTTTCTCAGCATCCACATGGTCGCCTCCATGAGCAGTGTATGACTGTGGTACAGCACTATACATGCGAACAAAACACCCATGTACATAAAAGAAAACATATGAATTAGCCAGTGTAGTGGTGCCCACCTTTAATCCCAGCACTCGGGAGGCAGAGGCAAGAAGATCCCTGTGAGTTCAAGACCAGCCTCGTCTGCAGAGTGGGTTCTAGGCCAGCCGGGGCTACAGTGAGCCCCTGCCTCAAAAAACAAAACAAAAGAAAAGCAAACACATCCATCATAGACCTGGGAAAGCGGCTCAGTCAGCAAAGCGATTGCTGTGAAGACTTGAGAAGCTACGCTCGGTTCCACCGTCCATGTCAGGCCCAGGAAGGGGGCAGGCACTTGTAGCCCCAGTGCCGCAGGTGAGAGACAGGGGAAGATCCCTGGGGCTCACTGGCCAGACAGTCTAGCTAATTGGTGAACTTCAGTTCAGGGAAGACCCCGTCTCAAGAAAAAAAAAAGGTGGAAACTGATTGAGAAAGACATCTATGTTCTTCTGTGGCCTACACATACATGTATGTAAACATGGGCATACACATATACACAAATAAAACCTTCAACTGGTGACACAAGCTGACCAGAACTCATATGTAGCTTCTTCTCCTTTTGGAGGGCTTGTTTGTTCCTTTTGAGACAGGGCTTCTCTGTGTAGCCCTGACTGTCCTGGAACTCATTCTGTAGACCAGTCTGGCCTCGAACTCAGAGATCCACCTGCCTCTGCTCCTAACATAGAAGACTTCCTATAGCCTGACTTTATCGCTCCTAATGGGACTATCCAGGCTATTTGGCTTGGTTTTGGCCGTGGTTGTTGATACCAGATCAGCCAGAGTTCCCAGTCACGTACACAAACTTTGGATGAGTCATGGCCATGATTTCAGGTGCAGATCCAGCTGTGGCCACAGCTGTAAGCCCTGGCTCGGCTTCAGGTGTCTTTCACCATGGTCTCGGACTGTTTGGAGTCCTTCAGACATGTCATCTTGAAATCTGGGTGGATTTTACAGGATGCAAGCCTGTAATCCCAGTTCTTTGAATGCTGAGGCAGGAGGATTTCAAGTTCAAGACCAGACTGAGCTTCATCGTGAGCTCAAAGACTCAACATACATGGACACACACACACACACACACACACACACACACCATCTTGACACTGGTTGTGTGCCCAGATGGTCTGGGTTATGGGCACACACTTAGGTTTGTGCTTTACAAAGTGATGGGCAGTCCCATCTGAACATGAACAGGCACTGCAGGGGACTGGGAATTGGGGTGGTATCACTAGGAAAGAATGGGATTTCAGGGAAGAGCTCAATTTCCCCTCAGTCAGAACCCATGGAGCTTGGATGGAGAGAACACAGCAGAACTGGATCCTGGTACCTGGCCTCATCTCTGACCTGCCTCCATATCTGGGCTCCCAGGCTTCCTGGCACTGGATCCTCAGCATTCAGAAGCCAGCAGGGTTGTCGGCTATGAATGAAGCAGCTCTGTGTGCATCAGCAGAAAGAGAAAGCCAGGGCTGAGGAACAATACAGCTGCGGTCAGCACAGCCTGGCTAGGGAAAAGGGCAACAGTCAGCTGGAGAGCGCCAGCTTCACGTGAAGACAGCTGGGTTCAATTATTTAAAAATCGGGGGAGGGGCAACAAGATCGCTCACTGGGGTAAAGGCACTGCTGCCAAGCCTGACCCTTGAGTTTGAGCCCTGGGGACCTACAATGACTCCTGCAAGTTGTACTTTGACTCCCATGTGAGCACTGATGCACATGCACCTACCTGCCCAAGTCCCAGGGCCAAGCAGCTCAAAACACAACATATTCTCCGAGGACTTAGTTTATCACATCAAGTATCCTTGAGAGTGCAGGTGTGTGTGTGCGTGTGCATATGTGTGTGTACGTGTGTGTGTGAGTGTGCCTGTGAGGGTGTGAGTGCTTTCCAGCAAAAGGCATTCATTTTTCATAGCTTTTGGTACCTGAAGCCAATATGAGTGGATAATTGTGTTTGTCCTATAAACTGGTCTCCATCCCTTTCTCCATCTCCCTCTTTATGATGGCAGTGCCCAGGGCCTCACACAGCAGGCCAGGCAGAATAATTTATCACTGAGCTGCAGCCCCAGCCCCTCCTCATAAGTGACTTCTAGGTCGCTTCTTTATTGCTGAACCATATCCTAGTTCTAGCTCTTTTGAGACGGGGTCTTCCCGGGATCTCAGGCATGTGGCACCAGGCCTGGATAGCTCTGTGTATTTTGTATCTAGTTGGAACACAGCATTTTGACCTGAATCAGCATTTGAGCAGAGGGTCAGTCCCTGAGCCTTTCCAATACTTCGGATGGGTCTCACTTGAGCCAAATGCAAAGAACAAACAAATAAACAATCCAATGTGGACCTGGGCATGGTGGCACACACCTTTAATCCCACCACTCAGGAAGCAAAAGCAGGCAAATTTCTGTGAGTTCAAGGCTAGCCTGTTCTACACAGAAAATCACAGGCCAGACAGGGTTACATGGTGAGACCTTGTCTTAAAAAAATTCTGAGGTATAAATCTTGCTTTATAAGAGCTATTTATCTCTTCAAAGAAATCACAGTTTTAGTATAATCTACACATAACTTTATGGTGCTTAGCATCAAAACTGACATTTCATTTTTCCAGAATTGATATTATTCATTATGATGTATCACCTTATAAGGCAAGAAGGCTTTATGTGTGTGTTGGGGGTAAGAATCAGAATCAGGGCTTGTATGCCAGGACCTTTGGATTTGCAGGATTTTGTTGTTGTTGTTGTTGTTTGCTTCAGACAAGGTCTGCAGCCCAGGTTGGTTTGGAATTCACAATGGCCCAGACTGATTTCACGCCCAGCCATCCTGCTGCCTCAGCCTTCCAAGTGCTGTAAAGGTATGAGCTTTGTGGTCAGACTCTCAAGGTACAAATTCCAGCTCTAATCATTTCCTGTTTATTTGTTTGGTTGCCCCCCTCCCATCTTGGGTGTTTCGAGACAGGATTTCTCTGCGTAGCCCTGACTGTCCTAGAATTCACTCTGTAGATCAGACGGGCCTTGAACTCACAGAGATCCGCCTGCCCCTGCTTTCTGAGTGCTGGGACAAAGGCGTGCGCCACCACTGCCCAGCTAATTGTTATTTTTTTTCAGGTTATTATTCATTACACATATGTGACATGAATACAGCGAACTGCAACTCTGAGCCACTATGTACGTGCTGGGGCAGCATGTGCTCCTAACTGCTGAGCCATCTCTCCAGCTCTGAGAGTTCAGCTGTGACTAAGACATGTTTCTTTCAAGTCTTAGTTTCCCTCCATATAAAATGGTGACTGGGGACAATTTGGGGGGAGACAGGGTAGCAGAAACTGCCATCAGAATGGAATTTTCTTTATTTTTGTTTTTGTATTTTTTTTAAAGGGGAGAGCAAAAACACAGTTCCCATTACCACACATTATGCTGTCAAGTTTCCTGAATTTGGGGAAATTGCAGTGGTCAGCATGCTCTGCTTAAAGTGAATGAGCCTTGTCCTGGGAAAAACCACCTCTGTGATCATGGTTTCTCCCCTGCCAGGTAAGTATAGAATAGGAATTCTCTTTATTTTTTTCCTTCTTTCTTTCTTTTCTTTTCTTTTTTTTTCCGAGACAGGGTTTCTCTGTGTAGCCTTGGCCATCCTGGAACTTGGTCTGTAGACTAGGTTGGCCTCAAACTCAAATATTTGCCTGTCTCTACCTCTCAAATGCAGGGCATAAAGGCGTGCATCACCACCATTAGAGAATATGAATTTTCAATTTAAAAGCTGTATGAATTTTCACTTAAAAATGGTGATAATCCAGGCATAATGGTACATGTCTTCAGTCCAACACTGAAGAGCCAGAGGCAGGCAGACCTCTGTGGGTTCAAGGCCCATGTGGTCCGCATAGCAAATTCCAGAGCTACATAGTGAGATGCTGTATCAAAAAAATAATAGTAATAAGATCAAATATTTACTACATGTGAGGCATTGTTATTGTGGCCCGGAACTCAGTATGTAGCCCCAGCTGGTATAAACTTATAACAATCTTCCTGCCTTGGCCTCTAGTACTAGGAGACACCACACTGAGTTCTCATTTAAAAAATGTCACAAATGTGTGGTGTGTTGGTGATGTTCTCCACTTTTACAGTGGAGAAAGTGAAATGTCAGGGAAGCCAAGTGACTTATGGAGATCACATAGATTGGGTCAGGGCTCCCAGCTCCAGAGTACAGCTCAAAGCTGCTGCTGCTGCTGCTGCTGCTGCTGATGATGATGATGGTGATGGTGATGATGATGATGATGGTGGTGGTGGTGGTGATGATGGTGATGACGATGATGATGATGATGATGATGATGGTGGTGGTGGTGGTGACGATGGTGGTGCTGATGGTGATGATGGTGGTGGTGGTGATGATGATACTTTCATCCCAGAATTTGGGAGAAAGAGGCAGGAGGATCTCTGTGAGTTTAAGGCCACATACCAAGTTCCAAGTCAGATGGTGTTAAATATTAAATTATAATGATAATGATGAGAAACACCAGACTCTCTCCAAACACACTTCTACTTTTCTCATTCTGAGATTCCTGGAGGCAGGATCGTCATTTTCAGACTGAGGCAAGAGCCAGTGGATGGTTGTTTTACTATTCTGTTCTCCAGGCTGTACCCCAATATCTGTCTCTGGGCTGTTATTAATCGTGCTACAGTTATCTGAAAATCTCCAATGTAGAAGCTTGGGCGATTCTATTCAGTACCACGGCCAGCGCCTGAGCACCGCTGAGTCTGCGCAAAGCTCCACTCTGCTTGGACCGTGGCTCCCTTCCAAGAACCCCAGTGAATTTTGGGTACAAGCTGCCACCTGCTCTGAGTGTGGCCTTGGGCAGTGATTTAACGCCTTCGACCTTCAGTAGGCTTCTCTATAAAATTGGGATAATAAAAAGACCTGCCTCCAGGGTGACGGTGAGGAGTATATTACACAATGTGCATACATTATATGTAAAAGCACTTACCATTTAACCCATAAAGCCTGGCCAATTTGTAAGTCTGAGCAGTACCAAGGCGTGCACACACGACCAACACCATCACTGTCTCCAGAGAGGTGATTCAAAGCTTGTGGACCGGCCCATTGGAGGACAACTTGTAGTAACCCATTCGCTCATACTCTGCGGGTCCTGGGGAATCGAACTCAGGTTGTCATACTTAGCAATGGGTGCTTTAACACTGAGTCATTTCACCTGTCTTAATTTTAAAATTTACTTACTTAACTTTGTGACAGTGTTTTATGCCTCCCTTGTATATCGCTACGAACTGCTTGATACTCCTGCCTCCACTTCCGGGGTGCTGGGACTGTAGGCAAGTACTGGGAATCAAATACAGGGCTTTTTACATCCTTGGCAAGACTCTGCCAAAGGAGTGAGCTACACCTCCAGTCTCTCATGTAAGGCCTTATAAATCACTGCCAGGGCTCTGCTGTTGCTGGCAGGTGGGGCGATTGCACTGGAGGATATTGAGTGGAGCAGGGACATGACTTGAATTTTAAAAAACAGTCTCGGGGGCGGCCTGATCCTCGACAGGTCTGCTCATTGCTCCAGGCCCTGGTGGCCCTTGCGAACCTTGAGCAGCAATTGTTGGTACATATGGTCACAGGCCTTGTGTTTTGCTTGCAGACAGTGATGGCCAGCCAACAGCGCCACCGAATGAGTGGCATGTCGTGGGAACTTGGTAGGTCGTCTGTGTTCTGCACCTGTTGGTCCTGGAAGGAAGGGCTGAAGATGAAGGAATACTGTCGAGCGGGCTGGTCGCCAGGGAGGCCACCCAACCTTAGAAAGCTCTGAGTGCGAGTCGCCGGGCTACATTCACGTCAGCACCAGGAGCACCCAGCAGGTGGCGCAGCGGCGCCGGGTCCAGGCAGGCGCGCCCACATGGATCCCTCACTAGCCCTCCGGCTCCGGCGCTGTCACTAACTAACATCACCATCCGGGGCCCCTTGGGCGGTGGCAACACACACACAGCCGGAAGTCGGGTTTCTCAGCGCCCCCGTTTTCCAAGAAAGCTGTGATTAAGCGGCGGCCCTAGAAATCCACAAACGCAGCTGTTGAGTCTGAGTGAACCGGGAGCGCAGAGGAGGGGACAAGAATAGCTGAGGGGATTGGGAGGCCATTGGGAGGTTTGGATCCTCATGTGGCTTTCAAGCCATGTGAACTTGAACCGTAAACGTAATTTCTGTGGGCTTCGAGTCCCTCTTCTGAATAAGCTGTTCTATACATACGTCACAGAGCTGGGGGAGATGGTTTACTTTCTTTAGGTCGTCTGCCCTATTCTGTTTTCGGAACCGGTTTGCGCTATCTACCGGCACAGTCTACCCAAACAGATCTTGTTCTAACTGGTTAGGGTTCTATCCAGAGAAATTCCACAGAGGCCAGTCCACGATCACAGAGACATGGCAGACTGTAAGGCCACCAACCACCTGCTTTCTACATCACCAAGGGGTCAGTCAGCCTGTGGGAAATCCAGAGCATCAAGGTTTGAGGGCGGGTATGAAGGCAGCTATGACTGGGTCTTCTGTGCCGCTTGCCACTCTTTCCCAAGGGCACACTCCAGGAACGGATGGGACCGCCGAACCCCGTGGGATCTAGGTAGCCTGGGACTCCTGCCTGTCAGGAGCCAGGAGAAAACTGGGTGCACATCCCCTGGCCCTCATCATCCTCCCCCGAGCCAGCATGTGTGGAGGACTGGTGGCTCCGGCCTGACCTGGCTTATCATCGTGGTGAAATTGTGGGGGCAGGGATTAGAGACAGATGGTGTAATGGAGGAGCAGGGCTTGATGCGAGGAGGTGAGTTACAGGTAGAGATGAACACAGCACACGCAGAGGAAGAATGACAGGAGAATTACAATGAGGAGGAGGAAGGTGTGCGGAAAGGAGAGAGAGGGAGTGTGGGAAGGGAGTGAGCAAGGAAGAGGACAGTGGGTGGGGAAGGCAGAGAAGGAGGGAGCCTATTTGAGCAACCTTAGGACCAGAAGAGGGCCTGTGATTATGGAGAAGTAGCCTGATTGTGCTTAGAAAACCAAAGGGGCAAGGTGTGGAAGCTGACACCCAAAGAACATTCTGGAAAGGAGGAGCAGGTCCATAGCCACCGAGGAGGAAAAAGCTTCTGGCTAGAACTTCTGGGGCCCTGGGAAGGGGTGATTTGTGAGTCTGGGTTCTGAGGAAGGGAGTGGAGACTGCTGTGGTGACTCAAGGAGGGGAAGGAGACCCGGAAGTGTAACAACCTGGCCTACAGGAGTGTGAGGGAACACAGTGATGGCTGGATGTGAAGGTCTGGGGACCGGGGGAGCTGAACTCTCCAAGGGATGACATCTGCCTCTCTCCCAGCCCCTCAGGACTCCTACGGAGTCACTGGGAGGTCTAGGAGGGTGAGGCAAGGCTGGATTTTTCCAGACAGGGAAAGGCAAGGGTTGGGGAGAATCTCAGCATCTGCTCCCCCACATCCTAATCATCTGCACCCACACCCTCTTCTCCTCCAGAGCTTCTGTTGTCGGTGAGCATTAAAGGGAAGGGGACTAGTTTTCCTTCTATAGCTTCCGTTAGCATTCCCTTGCTGGCCATCCAAAGCAGGGAAAATGAGGGTATTTGACAGGCCTTGGCTTCCTGGGAGTGGTTAGTATTCCTTCCAAGCCAGTGGTTCTCAACCTGTGGGTGCAATCCCTCCGTGACTGACCAACCCTTTCCACAGAAGTCACATATCAGATACCCTGCATGTCGGGGATTTACATTATGATTCATAACAGTAGCAAAATTACAGTTATGAAGTAGTGATGAAAATAATCTTATAGCTGAGGGGAGGTCACCATTGCATGAGGAACTGTGTTAAATGGCTGCAGCATTAGGAAGGTTGAGAATCACAGCTCTAAGGAACATTATTTTGGAAATGGTGCTTGAGAAAGGCAGATGATATAGATGCCCTAAAGTGAAGCATTTTGTTTGCTCCTTTTGAGACAGGGTCTTGCTCCGTATCCCAGGCTGGCTTTGAACTCATGGAAGTTCAGCAACCCTCCTGTCTCAGTCTCCCAAATGCTAGGATTGTAGGCCTCTGTTGCCATACCTGGCAAAACTAAGATGTTTGGCTCTTCTGACTCTGAACCAGAAACCTGGGGGCCAGGGAGGCTTTCATGCAGCCAACAGACAGATTTAACTTTAGAAATGTTTTGGACTTCTGGACCAGGATCCCAGAGGGAGGCTTACAGAGGATCCAGGTGGCTAAAGTCAGCATTAGACCAGAACTGAAGTTGGAGAAGGGGGGCGGGGAGGTGGATGGATACTCAGGAGTTGCCCGAACATGAACTGGGCAGAGGGGCTGGTTCGCTTAGGAGCTGAGGCAGGTTGGATGTGAGTCACTAGGGTTTATGTAGGGAAAGGGGCCCAGGAAATCATGGAAAGCCAGGGCTGGAATTAGGATGCCAGACACAGGCTCAAAGGTTGGTATCTGAGAAGAACAGGAAAGGAAGGAGGGGGTCCATCCCCAGCCCTGGGGCAGAAACAGCATTTAGAGGGAAGTGGAAGTTCCCAGTTGCTGATAGACCCATGGGGCTCAGGAGAGTGCATTGTGCCCCAGGGTTCCAGGAACTTGGGGCCAGAATACATCCAGACTAAAAACCTTTGAAGTCTCATGTTCTCAAATTCTTGCCAGCTTTGCGTTCTCCACTGTCAGTGTACCCGTGCGTTCTTATGTGCTAAGATTTTCCAGTACTTAGTATGGACATTGTGTAAGCGGCCTTTCTGTGTTCCCTCCCCACGCCCACAGTGTGAACATTCGCAATTGAGAACGAAGCTCTGGGTTGATCCTGGGACCGTCCCAGGTCCTTCGGCTCATGGACACTCTCTGGTCCCTTTACAGGCAGCAGAGTCACCCCCTTCAAAACACGTTGTTCTTGGTCACATGCCTCAATTCCCTTCCTACCGGGGTCAGACTTTCTGAGACACAGACTGAATGCCACCCCTCCTTGCTCAGCCCCCTCCTTGCAGCAGCCGGCAGTCAAGTGGCTGATAAGGTCGCCTGTTGCTCCGCCCATGCTCCCACTTGCTGCTCCAGCTACACCTTCCTCCAGCTTGTCCTTCAAGTGGATGTGCCTTGTCTTTCTTTTCTTTTCTTTTCTTTTCTTTTCTTTTCTTTTCTTTTCTTCTCTCAAGACATGGTTTTTCAGTAACCCTGGCTATCCTGGAACTTGATCTGTAGACCAGCCTGGTCTCGAATTTGGAGATCCGCCTGCTTCTGCCTCCTGAGTGCTGATCAAAGGCATGCACTGTGGCCACCACCATCTGGCCCCTGCTTCTGCCTCCTGAGTGCTGATCAAAGGCATGCACTGTGGCCACCACCATCTGGTCCCTCTTCCTTTCTTTTAGGTCTTTTTGGGAGAACCTCTATGCCCTGGCTCTTGTCCATCCTTCAACATCTTCTTCAGGCGGTACTGGCTACACAATTTGAAGAACTGGGTGCAAAAAAGGAAACCAGTGGTGAGCTTGTTTAAAATGTATTAAGAATTTCAAGATGAGAGCTGGGGTGGCTGTTGTGCCTGTAATCCCAGCCCCTGAGGTAGCTGAGGCAGGACGATTGAGTTCAAGGTCATCCTAGGCTATGCTGACAAGACCTTGTCTTAAAAAAGAAAAAGAAAGAAAAAGAAAGGAAGGAAGGGAAGGAGAAGAGAGGGAGGAAGGAAGGAGAGAGAGAGAGAGAGAGAGAGAGAGAGAGAGAGAGAGAAACAGCAGGACATTAAATCATTGTAAGCATGTGGGCTTCCCCACAGGTCACAGTGCCATAGGGTCTTGTCTTCGGCACTTGAGGCTCCCATTGGTCTCTGTTAGGAGTCCCCATAGGCTCTCAAGTTCCCCAGGGACCACCATCAGGGTGTGGTGGTGCCGAAAAGTCTACCACTTGAGAGGTAGACGCAAAGAATCAGGAGTTCCACAGCACTCTGGCTTCCATGAGACCCTGCTTAGAACACAGAAAATGAAATAGGCCACCATTCTTTCTGCCTGTACCTTCTCAGCCCAGACTACCCTGGCCACCACTTGTATCTACTTGTTCTATAAGAACTGGGGCCCTGAGAGGGTAGAGACCTGGGCTATTGGTCCCCACGTTCCCAACATTCTAACCTCACCAAGGCCAAGACAATGCCAAGCACTGACGCCCCTCTAGGCATGTGAGGGCCCAGACTTTGCTAAGAAACCTCAGGAAGGACCACTGGATCCCACTACCCAGAGGAGACTTGCTCTCTTTGGGGAATTCCCCCAACCCCATCAGGTTCTCCCACCTAGGAGTCCAAGGAGAGGGCTCAACCCCAAGGAGGTAGGTCTCCTAGGGAATCATGGCTCTGTCCTAATGTGGACACACACCAGCCTCAGTCACCCCGAGATCTGTGGCTAGGCGAGGCAGCGTGCTTCTGGGAAAGAGTAAGAGATCAAGACAGCAGTCACCTGGGGACGGTGACTCAGCAGCCTGGGTTTGATCCCCAGACTGTGCTGGGCACTTGTTTTGATCAGAGGGGCGATGGGCAGCAGACGCCATGCTCCCTGACTTCAGGAAGTTGGTGGCTTCGGCTGGCAAGCCCGCATAGAATCACTTAACTTAAAGTCCTCGATGGTGGTGTCGTTTGCTTTTGCATAGGGCTGAGGGGTGGTCTGAGTGTCCTGTGAAGTTCCAGGGAGACTGCCCCAGACACTTGAAGGAGGCTAGCACGGGTATGTGCCTCCATTCTAGCCCCGTTTACTGGGCCTGATTCCACCTGATCAGCCTTTTTTGGCCTCTATCTACTGGCTGCCTTGCACTGGGGCTTGGTGAAGCTCCCTTCTTCCTATATTACAGACACCTGTGGGGTGGATCCTGGGACTGGAGACCTGGGTCTGTCCCCTCTTCCCCTAGTTTCTACAGTCTCCCTCTGTTCTGGGTCAGTTGCTAGTAGTCCACACTGTCTCTTCTGAGTAGGGAAGGGAGAGCCTACTGACACCTCCCATCTCGCCCCACGTTCAGCCCGGCCTAGGCCAGCCTTCTGCCAGGACTGCTGCAGCATCTTCCTCCTCAGTTAGCCTGCTCCGTTTGTCCCTCCACACCCAGGATCTCCCACGGGAGCTTCCTTGAGATCCCGGAAGACTACAGTCCTCATAGCTCAAAATCCTCCAGTGGCCAGGTGTGATGGTGCAAGCTTGTAATCCCAGCACTCAGAAGGCCGAGGCAGGAGGATCGTGGATGAGGTCAAGGAGTCTGAGCTACACAATGAGTTCAAACCTGGGCTAACATTGTGAGTCCCTGTCTCAAAGAAACAAAAGAAAACCTCCAGGGGAACTCCTCCAGCCACTTAGAAGAAAATCCATCGTTTTCCCATGGACTCACCGGGGTTTTAGCTCCTGCTTCCTGCGTTAATATTATGCCTTCTCCACCCATTTTGTCTCTGGCTCCCCTGGCTCCCCTTTTCTCACAAGCATCCCTAACCTGCATGGGATGCTGTTTTGGCTTCTTGCTAGCTGTCTCCTGCTGGAGTAACCTTTGGGCCTCAGCTGGAGTCAAGCCCTAAGCTTCTCAATTCCGTCACTCCCACATGTATACCCGGCTTCACACTCAACCCTGTTTGACATTTACGTCTGTCGCAAATGGAGTCCGGGCAAGGGGAGGACTTGTACCAGAATCTATCCCACGGCCCAGCAATCAGGAAGGTTTAGGAACGGTGCATTCTGGCTCCCCCTCCAGGCGAGAATGAGTATTTCCAGCTGGCACTGAGCCAGTCCTCTCAACTGTTGGCATCCATTGCCCAACACCTATGCCCTCACTTTGGCCCATAACCTCACATGATCTTAGTCACTCAAGAGTAACAAAACGATAAAGGATTTCTGAATGCTGCAGTACTGGGGAGCCAGCTTGGGTGCCATGTTTCTGTGGCTAACAGTGGACATTGTCAAGGTCTCAAGTCCCACCATGAAAATGGCGTCTCATCTCACCAGAACGTTCTTTGCAGCAAACCATGAGATTTCCAGCTTAGTCTCTGCCTGTCTTTGCCCTGAGCCTCACATCACCTTACCCCAGATGACTGACGGGCACCATGCCTCCTCCATGTTCCCACCTGGACCTGCCACCTGAGAAGCTACTCGCTTCGGGGATGCTATCCTTGCTATCGACCCCATTCTTGGATCTCTAATGAGGCCTGGTCTTTTCCAGGCCCCGTGTTTGACCCTATACACACTTCCAGGACCACTGTGTGAGGGGGTCCGGGGCAATGACCCAGTGGGGATCCGCTCAGGAAAGACACAAGGCCAGTGTAGCGGGGTCACTCCCTGTCCACGTTCACTCCCGTCTATGTGGCACCTGCCTTGCCCACTGCCCGAGGCTGCTTTTGCTGGAACCTCTGCACCCTTTATATTAGTAAACCCAAAGGCTGTCTGGGACATACTTCACCTTTCCCTCTGCCTGAAGCTGTGCAAAGGTTTCTGTCTCTTTCTTAAATTCAGCAACCTCAATGGTTCAATCTTAGGACCCCTCCCAGTGTCTTTGGAGTGTGCAGCAGGGTCTCCTGCTGTAGCTTCAGTCGCCTTTGAACTTGTGGTCAATTCTCTTGCTTCAGTTTCCTGGGTACAGGGATTATAGGTGTGAGCCACTATATCCGCAAAGCCCTGGTTTCTATGCCTGGTTCCACTTCTAGTCACCTCCTGTCCCCACATCTGCAGAGTCCCACACGGACTACAGAGTCCTTCTCAGCTGTGCGCTGACCCCTGGTCTTCCTGGGCAGCCAAGTCTGGGGTTTCCTGCAGGAATCCTCCCCCCGCCCCACCAAGGTCCTTGAGCTCTGTAGTCCATGTAGTGTTTCCTGAATGACTCAGCCACCCGCTCCTTTCTCCCAGCCGTTCCCTGGTCCATGCTGGTCCTGACCCACTCTGACCCCTGCATTGCCTCCCCACCCGAGCCCTAGCTTCTGACCCACCTCCCTCAAGCAGCATTAGAAAGATCTTCCTAAAGTCCAAGCCTAACCGACACCCCCTGCACAGAGTCCTCCATGGATACCCATCACCATCACCGACCCCTCCCACCTCACCTCTGCCATAGCAACCCAATGCTTGTTAACACTCAACCTTTGTTTACACCAGGTCCTCCATCTGGAACCTTTCCTCCTGCTCTTCACCCAGGGATCCCCTTCAGATATGCTACTTAGATCACATCCCTCCTCTCCCAGGGTGCCTTCCCGGAGCCACACTTCAGGTTGAGCCAGGCACCTCTTTCGGGTTACACGCTCACTTGGGCTTCCCTCATCCCCATCTTCTGAAGGCGTGTTTCCCACAGCTGAGGGCAGGGCAGTTTGGGTCCCTGCGCCCCCACCATAGGGCACAGCACAACAGTCCCCAGAACGTCTGTTGCCTGCGTGGATGATGAATCTAGACGACTATCCTGGCCCCCTCTGCAGAGACCCCGGCTGAACTACAGGAAGTATCTTTCCTCAGACACCGGAAGTATACCTCAGTCCCCGCCCCCATGCCCTCAGTCCCCACAGACAGAGACAAGGGCAAGGGCACAGCCCAAGCTTAGAAAAATAGGACTTTCTTGTTGTGCCCCAGTGCCCCCAATACCCTCCCCATCAGTTTTAAAAACGGTGAAGAATTTGGTGAGTCTGAGGCCAGGTCCCGAGAGGTGTCTGGATCCTGTTGTCCCGGGGCCAGAGGAGCCACAGTGGTGGGCCCCTGGCTAGGGTCCCGCAGGTTCGTGGCTGGGCCCCCAGGGCTCACAGTCCAGTTGGACCACAGTATGGGCCCTGGGTGCAGCAGGCTCAGGGGCAGGTGCACTGGGCACTGGGCCGAGGGCTCCGTTGGTCTGGGAGCAAACACTGCTGACAGGTGCTGCGGCCTTGGCCTTGCCGGGCGGCTGGCCACCGTGCACCTTGTAGCGTAGAAGCAACACGAAGATGAAGACCAGAACTGACGCCACAATGACGCCTCCCAGTGCAATAATCATGGTGCCGCCCAGGAAGGGTGCGTGGGGTGCAGCGCACGGTCGTAGTGCCGGCTCTGTGGAGAACCGAGCGCAGCCCACTGGCCGTGTGGCGGTCAACCCGGTGGCACTGTCCTCATAGACGGCAAGCACACACAGATCATAGGTGCGGCCTGATGCCAGGTCGGTCAACAGAAACGAGCGACTGTCCGCCGGGATCATCCTGCAAGAGGGCAACAGGTGGTGTCAGGACGTGGTTGCCCAGTACCCATGCCCCCCCCCGCTCCCCACCCCCACCCTCCCCCTGCCTCCTCCACCTAAGTTCCCCGTGGTCCTGCTGCCTCATTTCCCCCTAGTTCCCTCTAGCCAGCACCCTGGTTTCTTCTGCTCAGCTGACACCTAACATACCCGTCTAATGGGCTAGCCAATTCATTGGAACTCTTCCCTCAGCACCCAAGTTACCTATTTTGCTCACCTGTGGATCTCACACCATATTTCTATGCCGCCTGAGATCTTCCATTCCTCTCTCGGAGATTCTCCCCCTAACTGTTCTTTTTCAGGAGCCCCTACCATTTCTCAAGCCCTCAGCCCTGTTAGCACCCAGTCTCCCGGGCCTCATCTGCCAAGCCCTCAGTCTCACAAGCAAAGTTCTCTCCCATCCACCGCCAGACACCTCTCTGGTTCACTGCCCCCCCCAACCCTGTCTAATTTCTACCCCCTCCCAGAATCTTGCTATGTAGCCAAGGCTGGCTCATATCTTGTGAAAGTTCTGCCTCAGCCTCCAGAGTGCTGGAAATAGAACCATTTGAAAGCTACACCTGACCAATACCCCCTCTTTTTACTAGCCTCCCAGACATCTTTCCTTCAGATTCTCTTCCGATTTCTTTCTGGCCCCTGTTTGACTTTTGTTTGTTTTAGACCCTCGAGGTGGTGCACCATCCCTGGAGTGTGGGAAGACCATGTCAGTGTGTGGAGTGGACACAGTAAGCTGCTACTCCATCTCCTGGCTCCAAAACCCATTTAACATATTGTCCTCACATAGAGGATGTATTAGATATTAGCTCGGTAAGAGCAGACACTACATTTGATCTTATCCAAAAGGCTTAGAAGCAATTGCTTGTTTGTTTCAAGACAGGGTCTCACGTAGCTTAGCTGAGGCTTGCCATGTAGCCAAGGCTAGCCCTGAACTAGTGCTCCTCCCTCCAATGCTGAGTGCTGGAGTGACAGACATGCGCCCCACACCTGGCTGCCTGACTTCTTTCCGGCTATTAATTCCCCTTGTCCAGCTGCTTTAAGTCTCCCAAGCGTGTAGCTGAGCCCCTATCCTAACTACTTGATTCCCCTGCACCCCTGTTGCCTCGTTTCCTTCTAGCTTGCCAATGAATTTCCCCCAGTCCCATTGCCTTCTTATGACTACCATCATCTCTACAGTGTTTTCCAGGGAGCCCCCGAGAGAGTCGCCATCCCAGATTCCGTTTTCTGCCAATCGCTTTATTTCTTTCTAGGTCCATCTCTTCATTCTCTTTTATCTTGGTTTCCTGGTTTCTATTTAGCCTTACCTTTGTGTATGTGGCACCTGTCTGAGCATGTGTGCGTATGCACGCATGCCTGTGTGCATGTCTCTGTGTGTACGCATGCATGTCTATGCACATGCGTGTATGCAAGTCTCTGTGTGTGTGTGTGCATGCATGTCTGTGTGCATATGCATGTCTGAGTGTGTGTATGTATGCACGTCTGTATGCATGTGTATATGAATGTCCCTGTGTGTATGTGTGCGCATGTGCATGTGTGAGTGTGGTGTGAGTGCCGAGTCAAGCTTTAGCTATGTAGCTCCCAGGCTGACCAGAACTCTCAGTGCCCTTGCCTCAGCCCCTCTGAGGCTGAAATTAAGGTGTGAACCACCAGGTCTGCTCTCACTTCTTCTGTCCTTCCCACCCAATTCTACTGTGACCATGACCTGTGGCAGGGTGGCTCTCTCTAGACTGACCCACTGACCATGACCTGTGGCAGGGTGGCTCTCTCTAGACTGACCCACTGCTCACCAGGCAAGGTGGCTGACCCTCCATATAATCTCCTGAATATTGCCTCGAAAAAAGAGTGGAGAAGCCATGTGTGTGGCCATCAGTCAGTTGGGGAAATGAAGGCAGGAGGGCTGAGTGTAATGCCATCCTTGGCTTACATGACCAGTGCCAGGGCTACGAGAGAGAGAGAGAGAGAGAGAGAGAGAGAGAGAGAGAGAGAGGACATAGGGAGGGAGGGGGAGAGGAAGATTGAGACAGAAAGAGAGTGAGTGGGAAGTAGGATTGAGAAGATGAGATCCTGAAGAATGGCCAGGAGAGGGGAGGGATCCAGGCAATGGGTTTACAAGATGCTAACCAGTCCTGGGAAGGGCCAGTTCTTACAGTCAGTTTGGGGCTGTCTGTACTCTTGACCCAGAGTCCATCAAGGACAGAGAGGCATCCACAGCTGCCCACACACGGTCAGTCTCTGGTGAGGACTGTCAGCCACCACCACTGCCATCCACTTGTGGTCACAGCAGATGGACCAAGTGCTATTGGCTTGGGGACAGACGCTACAGCGACTGGCCTTTGGGAGTGTGTAAACTTCAGGCTTTGTGTTTGCAGTTACGGAACACAGACAGAAGCCCTCATATAGCAAGGCTTTTGCTTGTTTGGTTTTTAAGGCAAGGTCTCACCCTTGAACATGCTATCCTCCTGCCTCAATCTCTTGAGAGCTGGGAAGACAGACTGGCATGCACTGACACATCTGACCTAGCTTAGATTTGATTTAGCAAACCAAAAATTAGGATGTTACTGTTACAAGAACTTTGACACACAGGGCTCTCATACTTCATGCACCCAAGGCCTTGTCTCTATTTAACCTCCTACCCCCAATTTTCCACTTAACCTCTGCTCTCATTTCCTCTGGTTACCCCACTTTGCTTTTTCAGCCATCTGCGCATTTCTGCCATTCTCGCCTCTGGCTCCAACCCTTCCTCTCTCGTCTCCTCTCCTCCTCTCGCCCACCCCTCTCCCACCCCTCTCCCACCCCTCTCTGGGATGCTGTTTGCTAGGCATCTCTGGCCAGCCTCAAGCTCACTATGTTGACCAGACTGGCTTTGGATTTGTCACAATCCCGCCTCAAACTCTCGCTGATCACATTTCCCCTGTGGTAGCCTCCCTTGAAAAACCAAACTTCCTGCTAAAATTTGTTTTTAGCCTCCCATTCCTCCCACAACCTCATTAACTTTTTCTTTTTTCAGTGCTGGGCCAAGACCTCAGGGCCGCATGCAAGCGCTCTATCTGAGCTACGCTCGAACCCCCATCAGCCGTTAACGTTTCATTCTTCAGGCCGGATTTTTTTTCCCTCGCTGCCTGATTTTGTTGTTTTTGCTTTTTATTTTGTTTTCACTGCCTTCTTTCTTTCTACCTCTGCAGTCCTATTTTTTTTTTAATTATTGACATTGATTGAGAGTGTCAGCCTGCTGTCTGGTCAATTCTGTCTCGCTTCCCTTCACCACATCTGTCCTATTTCTCTTGCCCTTTCTGCCCGGCTCTGGTTATCGCTTCTGCCTGATTTTGCTTGTCTTCACTTTCTGATTTCCTTTGCATCCTGCCGCATTGTTTCTCTAGTGGTTCACTACGGGTGTTCTTGGGTGGACCCACAACACACGACCCCCCTCACCCCCACTGCCAGGCCCCTGCACCTGTAGACAAGGATGTCGTCTGCCGAGCTGTTGTATTGGATCTGGTACATGCGGATGCCTGGGACGGGCCTCTGGTCTGGCCACTGGACAAGAGCAGCCGTGGCCCCGTGCTCAGTCACTTGGACGCCACGTTCGGTAGGGGCCACGGTGTCCACCACTTTGGCGGAAGCTGAGGCAGCAGAGGGCGGGGTGAGGGCATCAGGATCCCCGTCCCGCGGGGGGTCACAGCTGGTGCTATTGGCTAGCTGAGGAGGTGGAGGGGGGCCCACGGTCAGCTCAACAGCAGCAGTGGCCTCACCAGCGGCATTGGCTGCAATGCAAGTGAAGATGCCACCGTCTCCCGGCTCAGTGACCAGTAACTCCAGAGTCCCATTAGGGAAGGCACGAGCACGGCTGGAGTTGCCCAGCAGTCGACCCTGGGGTGACACCCAACGCACTCGTGGCTCCGGGTCCCCTACCGCCCGACATCGCAGGGCAGCTGGCCGACCAGCAGGCACTGCCAGGGGCGGCGAGCGGTGGGTCACCACTGGCGGCTCACACACAAACTCCTCCTCACCCACAGCCCAGAAGTAGCGGCCCCCTAGAGCAGGAGGCGAGGCGCACGCCTCAAGGTCATCCTCCCGAGCCAGGCGTCGCAGCCACACCAGCTCGCAGTTGCAATGGAGGGGGTTTCCCCCAAAGGCCAGCACCAGGGCAGAGGCTGGTGAGCCTCGGGGCCGGGCAAGCAGTGGCAAACGGGAGAAGAGCGGGTCAGGTGGGATGGTAGTCAGGCGATTGGAGGTCATGTCCAGCCGTGCCAGCTTGTGTAGGCGGGAAAAGGCTCCAGCAGGCACTGAAGCCAGCAGGTTGTGATCAAGGCCCAACGTGTTCACGTTGCCCAGGCGACCCAAAGCCTCCCAGGGCAGCTGCTCAAGGTTATTATAAGAGAGGTCAAGGTCCTCCAGGGTCTCGGCACAGTCGTCCAGGGCGCCAGCTGCCAGGGCCGCCAACTGGTTGTTGCTCAAGATGAGGTGGCGCAAGTTGACCAGGCCACGCAGCTGACCCTCGCCCAGCGAGGTCAGTCTATTGCCATCTAGGTGCAGGGCACGCAGGGCACGCAGGTCGGCGAAGGCACCAGCCGCCACGTGGCGGATGGTGTTTCTAGACAGGCTCAGATGCAGCAGGCCTGTCATGTTGGCCAGGTCACGGCGACGCACGGCCGCGATGAAGTTGTCTGCCAGGCGCAGCTCTGCCGCACGGCGATCCAGTGAGGGTGGCACAAACAGGAGGCCCGCCCCTGGGCACAACACACTTAGGGGCAGCGACTGGGTCTGGCAGCGGCAGCGGCGGGGACAAGGGCTGGATGTGGCCGGCTGGGGTGGAGATGAGGCAGGGGCCAGCGGTAGCAGGCAGAGGAGCAGTGGGAGGACGGCCATCGCGGGTAGGGGTGGCCTGTGGAAAAGAAGGGAGGTATTAGGACTGGCTGGGGCTGGAGGGGGAACTGTAGAGGGGGTGGGGTGCTCTAAAACCAGGAGAGATGGTCCTAACATGAGAGGTAAAGACATCAGAGAAAGGATGGGTCAGAGATGTGTCACGAAGGCACAGAGTCAAACATGAGCAACGATGGTCAGGAAGCTGGTTAGAGATGGGCACAGGTGGGCAGAGAATAGAACAGTTGGGCAAGGTGGAGAGAAGGTAAGCCACAGAGAAGAGGTGGGCGGGTGGCAAGGCTCATCGGAAGAGGTGTGACCAAAGAGGAGAGGTGAGCAAGTGGGGAAGCAGATCAGAGGCGGTCCATCTAGGGCTGGACAAAGAGAGAAAGGATGGTTTTGACCTGGTCAAAAGCCAGTAAGATAACCAGAGAGAGGAGAAAGGGCAGATACAGCCGAATCAGTAGGGAAGCAGGATAACTGGTCAGAGAAATGCATACGGAGAGAGGTCGTGAAAGGGAAGAAAGACAGCCAAGGTACAAATGGTCAGAGATGGCCAGATGTGGGTGGACCGGGAGTTGGGTCCAGGTAGGGGGAAGAGGAGAGAGAAGGTGGAAGAGGGACAGACGAAGCTGGCAGAGAGAAGGAAGGGTAGCCGGGAGAAGACTCAGATATGGTTAGTGATGGCCACAGACCCAGCCTAAGAGCCATAGTGGGCAAAGGGTGAGAAAGCTAGGGGACCAGAGAGACAAACGGTGACAGAAGTGTCAATGAGAAGCTGTGGACAGGTGTGTCAAAGCTGAGCAGAGAGGTGAAGAAGGGGGACCAGAAAGGGCAGGTGTGGGCCAGAGGACGCTAGATGGTCAGCTGTTGAGAAGCTAGAGGGTGGTGATATCAGAGATCTGGAATGTCATCGGCTGAACCAAGGAGGTCAGAGAGGGGCAGAGCTGGCCATGTGTCCAGAGTGTTGGAGACACACTCATGGGACAGACTTTTCCCAAGGAAAACCCCTAAAAATGCCACAAGGCACCCAGACCTCACCTACTTCCACCTGTAGCCCAAGCAACTCCACCCCCACCCCATGTCCCTTCCCACCCTGGATGCCCCTCAAAGGCCTTACCTGAGCTGGAAGCCACCCCAGGGAGCAGAGTCCTCAGGCTCCAAGGGGGTGAGAGGTCAGAACTCGGAAGGGGGCATCTGACTAAGCCTCTCTCCCCAGGGCCTCTGTGGAGAAACCGAAGCGTCTCAGCTCAAATCCGTGGTTATGGAGTCTCCAAACTTGATGCTAGGGGTCCCATGCCATTAAAATTGGGCCCCAGCGGTTGTTTAGGACTGGGCACTCTCAGTGCCAGGCTTGAGATGCCGACCAGCCAGATGGGGAAGTTTAGGGTCCAAGTCCCAAGTCCAGTCTGGAATCCGATATTGGGATCCTATTCGGATACTAGGGTGCTGAGTCAAGATTTGGAGGTCTCTAGCCCCAGATTTCAGCACTCAGGTCTGCAGCAAGGACTTCAGCCCCCTCGGAATTCCATGGTTTAGATCTTGGAATTGAAGGCCTAAATCCCAGGGTTTAGTTCCTAAAATAGTGGGGTCCCAGGTATAGATTTGAGAATTCGCTCCCAGATGTCAGAGTTCAGCTCCAAATTTGGGGGCTTAGATGCCAAATCTTGGGGTCCCAGCTCCAAATCTTGGGATCCATGTTCCAAAACCATGGGGTTCAGTTTCCAAATCTTGGGGTCCCAGGGACAGATGTCAGGATTCCAGCCCCAGATATTGAGGTTCAAGGTCCAGATCTTAAGGTTCCATGGCAGGATCTCAGGGTGCTGATCCCAAATCAGGGTCCCACGCTTGGGGGTTTCAGAATCTCTGGATCCGATCGCCGGCTGCAAGCGCCCCCGATGTCGGGGTGCCGGCCCAGGGTCTGGGACAGCAACGGCGCGGCTGGATTCGTGGCCTGCGGAGGGAACTGACCCAGAAAAAAAGGGGTCTGCTGCGGAGGGTAGGGGGGCAGCCGGGCAGCTCTTGGGGTGGGGTGGGGCGAGGCCTGGGCGCGGACAGAGGG